CCTCCCTCCACCCAGCCCCGCCCCTTCCATTCCCTCTGGCCATCACATGTCTGTGCCAAAACTTAAAATCTTTTAAATTATGTAAAGTGCTCCAACATTCAGTAAGGAAGAGGGACTTTACAGCAATCTGGCATCAAAAACACTTTCAGGCTATCCCTTTTAAGATTTTACCTCCCTTCTGCCCCCTGCCCAATGGAATATACTATTAACTAGCTAGTAACAATTTTTTAAGATAACTTATTGAATTTCCCTTCCCTCTCTCCTGGGTAGAGAAAAAGCACTTCACAGAAAAAACACCCTGTCATTTTCTCCTCCGCAGCTCTGCAGCTCATCACCTCTAAATGACCGTTTCCCCTGCCTTTGGGTACTTGACAATTTCCATACATTACTAGTCTAATGAATTACCATAGACTCAGTGCCTTAAAACAACACAAACTTATTTTCTTGCAGTTTTGGAAATCAGAAGCCCAAATTAAGTTTCATTGGGCTGAAGTCGAGGCGTCAGCAGGGCTGGTTCCCTCTGGAGGCTCTGCAGGAGGGCCCATGTCCTTGCCCTTTTCCAGCTTCCCTGTTCCTTGGCTTGTGGTCCTTCCTCCACTTTCCAAGCACATCACTCCAGTCTCCACTTTTATCATCACATCACCTTCTCTTCTGCCTTCCTGTTATATAAGGATACTTGTGATTACATAGTTGGGCCCACCTGGATAATCCAGGATAATCTCTTCAACTCAAAATCCTTAGTTTAATCACACCTGGAAAACCCCTTTTGTCATGGAAGGTAGCATATTCCCAGGGTCTGAGGATCAGGACATGAACTCTTGGGGGAAATTATTCAGCCTATCACATGGCTGTTGGGCAACCACTGAAGTATAAGATTACATAGTTTTACTCCCAAAAAAAAAAAAATCACTTTGGTGTTAAAGATACTTGCTTAGAAAAAGCTCACCTTTTAAAGTTTGAAACATTGAAATAGAACAGATCAGGATGCTTACATTCGCTGTGGCACAAATATTTCCATACCTGTCCCCTCAGATCCTTTCATTGGCCATGTCGTCATCGACTATGAGGAAGGTTTCTGTGTACTTCACTTTTCCACTTCATGGGAATAAATATCTTAAATTGTCAACTTTCATATGATTAATTTTGAAAATGTTTTTGTTGCTATCATCAGATTTTTTACACATTTTACATAAGTTAACATTAATGAATAGATTCTGAAAATATGCTGACATACAATGTTAAAATAAGAATACTTATAATTCTCTATGATAAGGCTTAAAGTAGATGTTTTAATTTATGTCAAAATAATTCATAATAAAGAAAATTTAACTTTTGAAGTTCCTTCCATGATCTACATCAACTAAAAACCTGTACCATTAAAAGAATGAAAACAAAAAGCAAGGTGTCAGATTATAAGTATAGAATTGAATTTAGCTATCACCAGGCAATTGTTGTTTAAAACAATCATCTTGGAGAAAATTTAATTGGTTAACTGTTTGAAAAAGTGTCAGAGTTTTATCTTAACTCAAACTAGTCATCCCACAATTGAATCATCTCCACCAAAATGTGGAGATCAGGTGCATAAAATCCAGATTCTCTCATTATAAATATTACTTATTGTTTATGTGTCAGTTTGTAGATAAATCAGAGTATCAATCATGATTTAAGATTCTCCCAACCAGCCTTTTCAGCAAAATTAATCTCCTAGGTAAAAATGTCACCATACTCTAAAAATGCAAATAATTTCATCAGGGTTTGATGCTAAATTTATAATGCCTGCTTTTTAAAATTTCAGAATCAAAGCCATGTTGGTAGCAAACATTCTTTCACTAGCTGGAGCTCTCTTGATGGGATTTTCAAAATTGGGACCATCTCACATTCTTATCATTGCAGGAAGAAGCGTCTCAGGACTCTACTGTGGTAAGTTACACACTTGCACACACACACACACACACACACACACACTGAAAAGTATTCTAAAAGCGGATGTGGTAACTTGCAGGGAGTATTTTGAGTCTGAGGTGGCACCACAAAAGGGACAGGCAATATCATAAAGTTAAAGTCCTAAGTCAGGGAGGTCTGGGACCGGTAAATGGGAGTTGTGAAGCTGTCTTCCTACCCATGGCAACGACGCCATTTCTAGTTATATGACTACAGACAACTTATTAATTCTCAGTCTCCTTATATATTCAATAAAAAGAATAATATCTACCTTGTAGGGTGCTTGTGAGAATATATGCAAGATGTTCAGCATAGAATCTGACTACAGTAACCTGCCAAGAAATGCTAGCTATTGTTTTCACTCGTGACGTGCTGTAGACAGTGGGAGAGTGCTACACCCAGAACCTCTAACTCGCTCTTGTGGCCTACCTGGCCGCGGATGTCTCTCTCTTCCATCTGGAAGGACACTGACACCAGGCCCATCTCTCAGACTACACAGCCCGGCCCTCAGATCTCAGACCTGACTGGGTGGAGGGTTAAAGTGGCAGAGAACACAGGGAGAGGGAATCAAGAAGAAGCAGCTTGCAAGGAGTTCAGAATGAAGGATGGACGTTCCTCCCATGAACTTGACATCTAAATGACTGGAACCATTAGTTTGTGGAAATAACTTTTCAAACTTTCAGAAGCAACGAATCAGCAGATGCCTGAACAAAGGGAGGATCTCTCAATCTCTAATACAGCCAAATCGTTAACTTCTCAATACCAGTGATGCCCTAGGTTTTAACCCATTGTCCCAAACTTTAGCAATTTCAAACCACTAATCTCCACTGGGGGTAGGAGAGGAGGGGCAAGGGCACAAAATGGTGTATAAAATATTTATAACACTTTCACCTGTAAAGGGAAAGACTATAATTCCATGCATCTTCAATGATAAGTTGAAACAAAAGTCTAAAATTGCTTAATTAAATTTCTCTTTTCATTATTTTTAACGTTAAAACAAATAACTGAAAATCAGCATAGCTTTATTAAAGTGAAAAGTCAACCCACATGTGGAAAAAGCTTTGGATTCACACTGAATCAATTCTGGCACTGTCTCTGTCTGGTCTTAGACATGTTAATTGAATATGAGCTTCAGTTTCCTCTTCTGAAAAGTGCAAATAATAATAATACTATCAAAGAGGTCCAAACTATGATTCTTCTTTCTTTTTTCTCTATTTTTAAAAATACAGTTAAAAAAAAAAAGAACTGCCTTATGACCCAGTGATTTCACTTCTGGGTATTTATCCAAAGAAATCAAAAACACTAATTCATGAAGATATAAACACCTCTATGTTTACCACAGCATTATTTACAATAGCAAAGATATGGAAGCAACCCAAGTGCCCATCAATAGATGATTGGATAAGAAAGATGTGGTACTTATATATTATGGAATATTACTCGGCCATAAAAAATGATAAAATCTTGCCATTTGCCAAAACATGGATGGACCTAGAGGGTATTGTGTTGAGTGAAATAAGTCAGTCAGACAAAGACAAATACCATATGATATCGCTTATATGTGGAATCTAAAGAACAAAATAAGCGAACAAACAAAACAGAAACAGACTCAAATACCCAGAACAGACTGATGGTTACCAGAAGGGACTGGGTGAAAAAGATGAAGGGATTAAGAAGTACAAATTGTAGTTACAAAATAGTCAAGGGGGTGTAAAATACAATATAGGGAATATAGTCAATAATATTATAACAACTGTGTATGGTGCCACATGGGTACTGGAATTGTCTGGGGAATCACTTTGTAAATTATATAATATTTGACCAATGTGCTATACACCTGAAACTAATATAAAATAATATTGAATGTCAAAAATTTAAATATATTATCTTTGCAAATGCAATTTAAAATCTTTAAGAAAATTTAGTTAATTAAGTTTAAGTAGGACTGATTAATAGACTAAAATTTATAAATTAAAATGAAAGTTCAAGAAAAACCTGTTTTAAATTCTCTAACTTTAATAAATAGAAATTAAAGAAAAAAAAATAGTAGCAAATACAAAATATTTTTTGGTAAAATTAAAAAGAAATTTTGTAAACATATTGTGAAGCAACATATCACTAGCAGAGGCCCCTCCACTACCCAACCCCCACACCCCCCCCACTCTAACAGTGATGGTGAGGCATCTCCAGACTGTAGAAACTCAGATAGGGCTTGAAGTTCTCATGCTAACGCCCTATTGCATGTGATCTTAGGTAAGTCGTTTCTCACCTTGATCAAGTAATGACATTGGCCTAGACATGTTCTAATTCCCTTCAACCCCATGAGTCTAGATTAAGAATGTTATTATTTTTTAAAGAATATTATCATCACATTCTTCAGTCTCTTTTCTTAAGACATCCAAAGGCATCATAATGTAAACTCAATACTAACATAGATTTTTTAAATTAAATAAGACAATGCTATAAATAATTGCCAAATACTCAACTAACCATTTATTTCTATTTGTACATCCAGCTACAACTTCATTTGGGATCTATCAACTCTGTCTATGGTTGGGAACAAAGATTCTTCCTTTCATCAGACTAAGGAAGGGACTTTTAACCAGAATATTGATTATACTTAAGCCAAATTAATGTTGTGGAGATAGTCCTGGCTTTATTTTAACATTTATGTTCATGTCTCATGCAGGGCTAATTTCAGGCCTGGTTCCAATGTACATTGGCGAAATTGCTCCAACCACACTCCGGGGTGCTATTGGCGCTCTTCACCAGCTGGCCATTGTCACAGGCATTCTTATTAGTCAGGTAAAAACGCCCACCCCTTACTTTAACCACCCTCTACTTTACCCAACTTTTCCCTCCCTGACTGTTCACTCTCACTGTAGACCAACACAGAAAAAAACAAAACACAGAACAAAAACAGCTCCACCAGTGGTAGTGGAGGTGCTAAAGCAGCATAGGCTTTTTAGCTCAAAGCTAAATTATTATTACTCCAGCCCTCACTTTTCCTCTTGGAGTTGCAGTTGTGTTGGCACTGGAGGTGGCCTGGAAGTCAAATCTTGAACTTCTGGAGCTATTCTAGAATTAAATTATTCCATTTATATTTAAAGGAATAGGAAACTTCAAATTTTTGGCTGTCTGGGTTTCCTTTGTTTTGAGTGTCTTACTTGGAAATTTAATATGTAAATGATGACCAGTTCTTGTTCAGCTGGTTCTATCTTTCCTTTCTATCCTGTGGTCTCAGAGGGAGTCCTCAGAACCGCAAACCTGTGACTATCCAGAGGATAAACTACTGCAATAGGGATCGCAAAGCTGATTCTCATCAGAGTTATTGCTCTATCTATATAATCCCATTCTACTTAAATTCTGGGTATTCTAAGAATAAAATTTTTTAACAAAGGTCCAAAGTTATACATGATTTCCGGTGTTGTTTTAGATATCAAATATGTTGTTAAAAGTTCGGTTGATTCCCATCCTAAATGTCCCATAGGAGTGCATGAAAACAAACCGAGGTGAATTTTTTGTAAAACAAATAGTCCTTAATTTAATTAAAGTGAGACACACTAGTAATAGTTTTCATCTTGATGCATACTTGAATCAAAGTTGTCAGGGATTACTATTAACTAGTCAACATGCTTATTCAACAGATCGTTGCAGAGGCAGACTCCAAGTGCTGTGAGGTTGATATGCTTCCTCTCTGCCTTTTCAGATTGTTGGCCTTGACTTCATCCTGGGCAACCGTGAGCTGTGGCACATCCTGCTTGGCCTGTCTGCCGTGCCAGCTGTCCTACAGTCTCTGCTGCTCTTCTTCTGTCCAGAAAGCCCCAGGTACCTTTACATCAAGCTGGATGAAGAAAACAAAGCAAAGAAAAGTAAGTCTGTGGGTGGTTTTACCTTCTACCTGTTGTTTGGGAACTACCAGCTAATGGGAAACAGGGTGCATGAATGGTTATTCATGAAGATGTTACCGAAGGAAGTCAGTGATCACATGTAAGAGGGACATGCACGATCACTTTATTATGACTGGTACATGCCATGCTGCACCCATAAACATTTGCTCAAGCCCAGATCAGAAGTCCACATGCAGAGTCCTGGGCTCAACCATAGGCTTCTAAAAGACCTTCCCAGCATTATGCCTCAAGAGTAATGAGGATCATAGTTCTCTCTGTCATAAGATGAAGCCAAATGTTCTTTTATGAAAAAAAATTAAAACTTAGGATTTAACTTAACAAAGAATTCCCAAAGTGCATGCTATTAACCAGTAGAAAGGGCTTTGCAGAATGGTAGCTTTTATTTACATAATAAATATAACTTTATTTTTGTTTTGACCTGAGTTGTATAAATGTAATCATTTTGGGGGACAGGCTTGAAAAGATTCAGAGGAGGTGCTGACGTCACCAAAGACATCGCTGAGATGAGAAAAGAAAGGGAAGAAGCATCGAGTGAGCAGAAAGTCTCCATAATTCAGCTCTTCACCAATTCCAGCTACCGGCAGCCTATTCTAGTGGCGCTGATGCTGCACATGGCTCAGCAGTTTTCTGGAATCAATGGGGTAAGTTTAAGGATACCCCCAACTCTTAAAAGCAAAGTGAATTAAGATAGGGCAGGAAAGGGGTATAAGTTTAAATAGCTAAAAGGCATTTTAAAATATTAACATCATGTCTTACTACGAAGATTGAGTGAGCATTAATTTTCTGTTTTGCCACAGCTGCTTTCTAAAATCAACTTAAAAATTTTAAAAAAATGTCAACAATCATATTGCATATCTATTAAGATGAACATTAAAAAGTCAAAAGTCATAATAAATACAAAAGAGGGAAAAGGAGAACAATTATACCAAAGAAAACTAAATTACAAGGAGCTTCTGTAGCTGAGTACCAAATTTAGGATTTATAATTGCCTAGGCCAAAAAAGTCCATGGTTCCCTCTGTTTAAATGAAGTATACCAGATATCCAGGTGCCAAAAAGGTTCCTGCTGTGCAAGAAACTCTTATTCTATTTGGGGAGAGCGCACACGCGCACAAAATAAACAGTAGAGTCAACTGGTATGTGGTGAGTGAGGGTGGTAGAAAAGACAGGATTGGAAAATATACTGAACATTAAACTTGCTAGCTTTGGGGTTTTGAATTGAAATCTTTGCATGTTATACAGAGTAAAATTGTTTTACTGGCAATTAGCATTTGTTAAGAAACTAAACAAAGGAAATCACAAAGCTGATTTCATTGCTGTTGAAAATGTGCTTTGGGCTTCCTCTAAGCGAGCCAATCTCGGATCCACAAAGGACACTGGGATGACTGATGGGTGGGCAGAGACTTGGAGCGCTGAACCTCGCCCGCCCTGAGCACTGCTCGGCTGTGGCCTTGTCCTCCTTTAAGGTCCTTGATGTTTCCTTTTATCTAGCACTCTATAACTTTGGGGGCTCAGGGACCAAACTGCTATGCCCTATCTCAGTTCTGCCTGTAAATTCCGTGGCACAGTGCTTCACCTCTCTGAACCTCTCTGCTTTAGCTTCCGCCCCGGCGCCTGACTTAGAGGCAACCCTGGGCTCGAGGCTGTCGGGCAGCCTGCGAACAGCAGGACCGTGCGCGTGCCCGAAGCCACTCCTCACAGCACAGTCTGCACAGTCCCCTGCAGCCCGTCTGCACAAAGAGGACCTGTTATGCGGGCAACGAATGACAGAGGCTGGGAGGACAACACAATGACCTTAAAGAATCTCATAAAAGTAAAAGCGTAACAAAATAATAAAAGCTGTTAGAGAGGTTGTGAACCAGATTTCTCCATATCCATTGAGATTAGTGGAAAATTTTGGATTAAATGCAATGCAACCGGAACTCTCACGCACACTGGTGAGAGTGTAAACTGACACAATGTCTTTGGAAAACCGTCTGGCAGTATTTATCAGAGCTGAGCATATGCAAACTCTAGTGTCCAATAAGCCTACTCCTAGGTGTAAATGTACGCATATTTCACTGAAAGGATTGTGTTAGAATGTTATAGCAGCACTATTCATAATCACCCTACATGGCAACTACCTAAATACTCATCAGTAGTAGAATGGGTAACTAAATTGTGGTGCATTAATACAATAAAATACTATACAGCAAAGAGAATTAATAGTCTACTAATGCAGCTATAGATTATTTTATAGAGATAATATTGCAGCCAGATGCCAAATAATACACACTATGTGGTTTCATTTTTATCAAGTACAAGACTAAGCAAAAATTATCTACGATGGTAGAAGTTGGAAGAGTTTCCTTGAGAAAATAAGGTGACATTTAGGGGATTTCAGAAAAGCAAGGAAGAATTTGTTTCCTAATCTGGGTATCGGTTATACAGGTATATGCACTTTGTAAAAACTATCTGAGCTGCACCCTTATGACGTGTGTACTTTTTTGCATGTATTTTATGCTTTAACAAAAGGTTTAAAAATTTTAAAAACAAAGAAAATGCATATGCAGAGTTTTCAGCTAAATATATAAAGAACTTTTAAGCAATCAGAAGCCTTAAACACGGAAGGGTAGTTGTGGTTCCTCCTTCCCTGGAAGAGGGGGGCAGATAAAACTTTAGGAAGTTCTAGGGATCATGGTTACATAGAAGCAACTAACGACAAACAAGTTAAAATATTTGTTGCTTTAAAGCCATCAGTTCTAGGCTTCTTGATTAAGGCTAAACTGTTTATTATTTTGCAGATCTTTTACTACTCGACCAACATTTTTCAGACGGCTGGACTCAGCCAACCTGTTTACGCAACCATTGGAGTTGGTGCCATCAACACGGTGTTTACTGCTCTCTCTGTAAGTAAAATACCCTAAAATATTCTGCTTGTTCCTCATTGCAGAAATGGGAGTAAAAATGAACCAAAGCCTTGTGATTTAAAAGTGATCAATGACATGGCCCATGTGCTCTGGGTATGTAAAACCAAGTGGGTCATGAAAGAGTCCTGTATGGGACTAACCAGCCTCAGTGGTATTGAGATGAGGCATCACCGAGCGGGCTATCTGGTTCTCTCTGGCGAGAACTGGTTCTCTCTATTGGCAGGGATGACATTAGTCACTCACTTGTGAATTAATAACTCACCTGGGACAGAGGACTTACTCCTTGGGTTCCTTCTCCTTTGCTCTATACTTAAGCCCCTTGGGTTTAGCCAACAGCTTGTCATTTCCCTTCATATTGAGTCTCGTACCTAGATTCTTCTCCTTTCATGGTTGAAATTCTTTTTTTTATCCTAATGTCTTGGGAAAAGATTTAAAAAAAAAAAATGTGGTCCTCTCAATTAGATAACTAAGCCTCTAGTAAAATTAAACAAACTCAGCAAATTCTTATGATGTTAGGCCATTGGGCAGAGTTTCCAAGTAGCTCACAAGGCCACGGCTTCTAGTGATGCACCTGTTGTGTGGTATTATGAGAGCGTGGAGTAGAAGTGGAGTATAAGTTGAAATGTTATTGTTATTTTTGAAATTTTATTTTTTAGAAATGTCAAATGTTATTTATTTTTGGGGGGGAAAAATTCCAACAAGGGAAAGAGGCCATATACTCTTTGTAAGACCAAATACCTTATATAAGGAATGATTCAGTATCATCATCATAATAATATGGAACATAACAATCTAAGAATTAAAGCACACAGACAACAATAACAACAACAAAAACCTCCCAACTAGTGTAACTCACTCTAAAGAAAGTAACTGGGCTTATTTTTATCTTAGAATGCAGGATGTTCAAAAAGCTTGTGCTTTCGAATTTCGGTCACAATGTTGTACTCAATATACTTTAGTCTCTTGTTTTTCATTCTCTGCACACGGACTTTTAACTATTAACTTAGGGTGGTCAATAAATTATAGCCTGGCCACCTAGATCAAAAGGCAGCTTTGTCCAGACCTTGGAAAAGTGGGGGAAGAACAAACAACATGGGAACACCAGAGGGTATGGAGACATGCCTTTAGAGATAATGCCTTTTCAAGCCAAAGGGCCCCCTGAATCAATGAAGGCCTGGTACTGGGATGCAATCCAAGGGACTATTTGCATTCTTTGTCTCCTGAGGTAATATTTTTTACATAATTTTCTGATATAGAGATTATGGTTAAAACATTTTATATGTAACAGGATTTGCTGTGTAAAACATCAAGTCGTCAAGATTGGGTAACCCAAACTCTAAGAGTGCCTAAAAGGAAACTACTGCAGAATTTCATTTTTCATCTCTCCCCCTGCCAACCCCAGTAGAGTGGGAAGAGTTGTTTTGAAAACAATGTCTTAATTGTGTTGAGTACATATACCTTTATAGAGTTCACCCTTTTACTCTATGAAAGTTTTTGAGCAAGTGACATAATTAAAAAATCATCTTTAATCAGCTAATTACAAATAACTCTCCAGGACTACAAATAACATTTAAAATGTTTAATTATATATATATTTGAAAGTTTTAAAGTACAAAAAAAACAAACCCTCAGTCACCCAGTTTCTCTCCCCCAAATTAACCAACGTTACCAAATTCCATGTATCAAAATTAAGATATGCAGTTAGGACTATGTACTGATTAAGGTTTCAACAACTTGGAAGCAACATAATCAGTCCTTTTTTTTTTTTCCTGAATGAGTATTTAAGGAAAGAGAGACTATCCTAACTCCATTTTGAATTATGTGCCATATTCCATGTTTTCGTAGAAGAGAGCCTACAATCTTGAGAGAGAGAAACAAAACAGAAAGAAATGTAGAGGGAACGGGGAGGCAAGATGGGTCTAGGGGAGAAGCAGTAGCTACCAAACTCTAAGTAGGTTTCCAGGATCTGAGTGAACTGAACAACACTGTCTGGGACAAAGGTGAAAGTTAAGGTCAGCATTCATCTTCAGCCCCTGACCAAGTCTCACCCTGTGTCACTTTCCTCCCTGCATGCTCACCTGGCCTCAAAAAGGTCTGACTCAATTTTCAAGGCATGTAGTTTTGAAGCTTATCATCCTGTTGGTAATAATTGTTCAGAAACAGAAAAAAAAAAAAACAGACATAATAAAAGCCCTTGTTTCTAAAGAAATGCTTCTCTTTTCTTGGTAGCTTGACATGGTGTCATCAAGTCAGCTTTGAAAGTCATGATTAGAGAGTCAAATAGAGAGAGAAATTTTATGAACCTGTATTTTTTTCTGCTCACTTCCTTTTCAACAATTAAATGTGAGCTCTTCGCTTATCATCCTGAAGTGATTTGAAACTCTGATTACAAAATGCCTCTGAGATGAAAGGGGTTTTCACTGTGGATGGAAAGAAATATTTCTCAGATATTTTCAGAACCAGAGCTCACTACACTAAGGGTATTTGATTGCTACTGATCTACTGATAGATTTATGAACCTAGCCGATTTACTCACCAAAGTGAGAAATTATGATAGGTAGTTTTTTTCTGTGGGACTCACCAATCTTGGTGGTATTCCAAAGATCAAGCAAAACTCTATCCAACAAACTCTGGTCTTGGCTAACTGTGAATCTTAACCATTAATACAAAAGTCCCCACACGCAAAGGAATCAATGACAGATTTCCAGACTTAGGATAAAAAAGCACTTTAACCTTTTGCTTTAAAGTCTTACTTTTTCAAATGGATAGTTCATTCCCAGCACCAGGTACATTTGGGCACACCAGAAAAATGAAGGCCTGACTATTTTGGTAAAGTGATCAAATTCCACGTGTTGCCAGGTGAGCAGTCTTAGACTTCATTTGCAGTGAGAAAGCTGGATGAGAATAGTTGACACCTCAACAGTTGTGCTGTCTAAGGTGTCTGCAGTGCGCAAGCCCTCAGGAGAGAAATTAATATTTTTATGTGAAAACTTCATATTTTTAACACATAAGAAATCTACTGGAAGATATCTAAGATGTATGGCCTCTTAATGTTGTCCCCAAAGTGATAATCATCGAGTGGTGGTAACACTATGGTTCTTTCTCTAGAACGTCATGTTCAAATCGGCGTCACTAACTGAAGCAGGTATTTGTAATGACCTCTGGTCACTGAGACCAGCTCTGCTACCTCGGGCAAGAGTCACTCCCCTTTTGAGTTCCACATCCATAAAACGGGTTATAAATTAAACTGATTCTTTCCAGCGTTATAAATTAAAATGACCTCTTTGTCAGTAAACAGTATTTAAGTATCAAGCCTATATGTTTTAAAATTTGTCTAGGTATTCCTTGTGGAGAAGGCGGGGCGGCGCTCCCTGTTTCTGATTGGAATGAGTGGGATGTTCGTCTGTGCCATCTTCATGTCCGTGGGACTTGTGCTACTGGTGAGTTTGGTGCCGGCACTGACATTTTTGGTTACCATATGATAGCAATCCAGTGCTCCAGGCTAAAGTGCTTTGTACGTCAAAAACTTTTGAGAATGATTTGTGAAATAAAGCCAGAGGAACAGCATATAATACAAAAAAAAGAAATGTAAAGAAAGAGATAACTAGTTTGGGGGCGCAGGGGTTAAAAACTGAATATCAGCAAGTAAACTGCACTTGTTACCCAGCGAGGCAGTGTAGCAAACGGTCAGAGGGTAGGCTCTGAGGCCAGCCCCCAACGAGCTGCAGCGCTGCCCCGGCGACCTTGGGCAAGTGTCCCGCCCCGCGCCCGCCCCCGCGTCTTCCCATGCACCCTGCCAAGCACCCCAGGTCTTAGCGGGAGCAAAGGTCACTGGGGCCTCACCCTGCCCCTTTCGCAGGAAGGGTGACTAAGAGTCACATAAAACCCTAATCCAGAGGATTTCCCTATAACCGAGCTCCAAAGATTGAAGGATGACTCAGGCTAGAATAATCTTGCCTCCCGCTAGAACAACCTGAGCATAACTTAACTGCAGAGTCCCCAGGCCAGAGCCGTGTCACCGCCCAGCCCAGGGAGGGTCTGCTCAGCTAAAGGAGGAAGCGGCCGGTGACCGCAGTTCTACTTTAGTTTTTGCTTTTTTTGCTTTTCCCGCAGAATAAATTCTCTTGGATGAGTTACGTGAGCATGGTGGCCATCTTCCTCTTCGTCAGCTTCTTTGAAATCGGGCCGGGCCCCATCCCCTGGTTCATGGTGGCCGAGTTCTTCAGCCAGGGCCCGCGGCCCGCCGCGCTGGCGGTGGCGGCCTTCAGCAACTGGGCCTGCAACTTCGTGGTGGCGCTGTGCTTCCC